GATGTTTTCAAATATGGGTAGTATTCCCAAAACCTTTTTTTAAAAATAAAAATATTAATGATAACATAATTAACCCAAAATTACACATTGACCATTAATAGAAGAAATATTTTTAAAAGACCCATAGTAGAACAATAAAAAATAACCATACTCAATCATTTGCATAACATAATTTTAAGGTTATAAAAATGATCCAACTAGAGGTTTTCCTGTGACAAATATTAAATAATAAATTTAATATATAATATTCTTATTTTAAAACAATAATTATTTTATAAATAAAACATTTACTAAAAACTACTCTTTAAAAAAAAAAAGCACAGAACATTAAAATGCCATTGTGCAAGTTAGGAATTTGTACGGCTTAAAATTGTTAGATCATCTCAAATAACAAAAAGGTAATTATTCAATATGAATGGATTCCAACTTCTTGCAAAAGCCCCTCTATAGAACTGCTAACAAGGTTATTCTCGAAATAGAACATTTTACTTTCAACATGCATATTAATTCCCAGTATCTGCTTCACTTTTCAAGAAGAAAACATTCTGTCTCTTAATTCAGCCTTTCATTATACTTAACCACAAATTATTTGGCACCTGATCTAGACCAAACATTTAGGTTCTACATGTTTGAAAAGATCAAGCAATGTAAAAGTTTTATGAAAACTACTTTTATGGTAGAAAGAGTGCCTTTTCCTAATCTTATATGAAAATAAAGTAATTGAGTTTCCTCCTTTTCAAGGTCTGTATTTACTACTAGAAAGCAGATAATGACACTTATTTGCAAAAAAAAAAAAAAAAAAATGTGATGTCCACCTCTTCCTGTACCCATAGCCAATACACTTCAGTGTGACTGAAGTTGGGGACATATGAGGCAGTAAACACATTACTAGAGACAACAGCTTGAAGAAGAAAATAACAATAAAACTGCATGCACAACACATTTACTAATCATAAAGAGATGCATTGGCAAAAGAAAAAAAAATCATCATTTCTGTCATAAATTTTGCACTGCAGCTCCAGAATGGAGAACAATCTGGGCAATTTATTGGCATATTGGCAGGAGGTGATAAGGCTAAAAACAACAACAGCGAGCAGCTGTGCGGGGAGATGGGCTGATAGCATGATATGGCTCCCACACCAAACACCTCCCGTCCTATCAGGGCTTTTTATCAAACCAGGATTACAATAATAGCTTATGAGAGAAAGCTTCTGAGGGGAGGGCAGAAAATATAGTCTCGGAATAGAAAAAAAATCTGAATTTTGGGACAAAACATGGGGGCAAAATACATAATTTATCACTGTATTATCAGGAAATCCAGGCAGTCTAATCAAGGAGCACTGAGTGACTATTTTTTGCCTTATCATCCAAAGTGGTGGAAACGGAGAAGGAATTATCAGGCTTCTGCAGATTGCTGGGCTGGAATTTTAATGGTAATAATCGGGTTTCTGATGGTATATCTTCTCCGCTTATCTTTCCCATTATCTCCTCTTATCTGGCCAGTCATCATAGCAAATTAATGGTGCTCTTTCAGCGTCGCCTTTTTATCGCTGCCCGGAGAGCACCCAAGGGGAAAGAATAAGCAAAATATTAAAATACTGCATAAATCACAATTTTAGATAGCAGAGAATTGTATGCAGTAAAAGAAAAAAAAAAAAAAAAACTGTGCCCAACAACCTTTTTGTCCTTTAAATTGACTGTCTTCAGAGTTTCTCGTATAAGCTGACTTTTTGCTTGTCATAGTTGCTCCAAATTGGGTATGTTTTATCACCAGGGCCAAAGCTTTATTTTCTAATCCTGGACATTTCCAAGTTTAAAATGCAGTTCTATTACTGGCATGAAATGCTATTGTTTCACAGAGCATTGCTTTTTGATATTTTCCAAACTTATATTTGATCCAGAATATCAGAAGAAACAGCGGAATTTGTAATAGAAAATGATGCACTTCTTATGCACCACTAAAATTGGGGGGAGAGACCTACAACAGTAGTGACTTTGGGTATCAAGACAAACTTCTCCATCTGCAAAACTGCCTCTTATGCCTGGACAGGCAAAATGAGACAGACGTCAGTAGATTGCAACTACAATGACTTTAAAGCTGGTCAAACAACATTTAAGTCTCTCCCCCAACCCTCAAAAATTGCTAAGAGAAGATGACTAGTATAAAAATTCTAAGACCTTTAATTTTTCACTTTTCTTAAAAGTAGAATGGAAGAAGCGGTAGCCACATTTGCACAGATTATCACTGTGACACCAAATTGAATCCAATAAAAGTATGAAATGCATGTAAATAACACATATGCATGCATACATCAGCAGGCAATGCTCACTGTGAATAAATGTATAAACATATTTGTTCAGTTTCAAATGAAAGAACTTTCAAGCATTTTTTATACTTAATAAATCACAGCATTCAAATAAACCACTAAAATGTTTTACAACCTATAACACCAGAGTAGCATCAGCAATTAGTTTCAATGGTTTAATCTTCAATTATATGAGGTAGACATAGAAGGAAATAAAAAAAAATTAATGTAGCTAATTGAGAAGTATTCCCAAGTAGAATCAGATGGTCTTGTGCCATACAATCAATTAATATTAATTATTTATTAACAACCCAGGTGACAGCCGTGAACTGAAAACATTTGTATTTAATAATGTTTATAACCATATCTTATAATAAGCATGGTTTTGTACTCTATGATGCAACATTTAAACAGAGGATCTGATCAGTTGAGTCCTCAAAACTACAAGGCAATTGGTGGAAACCATGAATAATCATTCTGAAAAAAGTGAAAGTCTTCAAGAACAATATCAGTACTTGATTAAAACTGGAGCCAAAAGTGAAGTCCAGTGCTTGCTTTAACCCAAGTTACATAGGCTGAGAACTGAAGCATAAGAGAAGGAATCCAAGAAATAAAAGCTAGAAAGTCACGTTTGAGAGGCGGATACACACACACACACACACACACACACACACACACACACACACAGAGAAATCTGAATACCTAACTGTTGATAACTATTTATAACCCGGCCCCCATTTCAAGGACAAGTTGATTGATAAGATTTATTTTTAAACTACGCCAAATAGAATTTTCAACATTTGGCGGTGGGGTGAGTATGGTTAATAAGGGGGAAGGGATACTACTAATGTCTTACCCTAAAATTATATGAGAATTAGTTTCAGACTAATAGCCAGACTCTGAGCAACACAGTGAAACAGACACATTATAAGGCTGGCAAAAAATAAACTAATAAGGCTTTTTCTTCTTTTTGGCCAAAGCTTAAATTAAAGATACGTCGCAGGCCTATAAAACACTACTGGAGGAATTCTCCCCAAGCCAAGAAAAGTTGACCGACTTGATCTCTGCGAGCGTGCGAGTTTCGGGAAGGTGTCTCCAGACCCGCAGTGTCCTCTAAACATCAGCGGGAACCCCGGGGACTCCGGGGCTCTGGGCCGCGCGGTCCCCAGCCCGCCCACCGCCTTGAACTCACAGCTTCCGCGCTGGGAAGTGACGGGCCGCCCCTCCCAGCGAGGACTCCGCGAGCCACCAGGGCCAGACACCACCCGAATCCCCGCTCGGTAGAGCGTCCTGGCGGCAAGAGCAGGACCCGCCCGAAGTCCCAGGGCGCGACCTGCCAGCCACCAGCCCGCGCCCGCAGGGCAGAGACGCACGGCGGCCCCATGCAGAGGCGCGAACTTTTACACCTACTTTTTGTTTCGCTTCGAGTTGGGTTTGGCTCTGGCACCGCCCAGGATCGGGACCCCGACGCTCTGATTTTCCACCGCCTGGGGAAGTTACCTCCCTCGCCCCGAGGTCTCCACCGCCCAGCTTTTCTGAGAAGTTCTACCCTGGTCGTTAAAAGTGATTCCCAAGACTGGTACCACGTCAGTCGCACAACAGCAATGACAACAACAAAAATGAGCGTCTAAAGGAGCGCGACTGCCCCTCCGGCTGGACGACACAGCGCCCGGGACTCGCAGCGCGCGCGGGTCGGAATTAAAAAAGCAGCAGCAGCTGGAGAACGCCAGGGCTGAGCGGGGCAAGCACGGGCTGCTCCTCGCAGCCTCGCTCTTGCCCGAGCTCGGGCTGGCCGTCTGTCTGTGACTGTCTAGTTGTCCCTTCGACTGCTCAGGCAAAGTTTGACACATCTAGGGACCGGGAGCGGATCTCCCCTAGCCCCGCAGCCCACCCATCGCTTTCCCGTCCCGCGCACCCCCGTCCTGGGCAAACTTACGTTTGATCTGCCGGGGTTTGCTCTGCTTTCTCCGGGACATCTCGGCGGCGGCCGCTGCCGCTGGGGCTCCCGCGGTGCCCGCGGTCTGGGCTGCCGCTCCCTCGGCTCCCGCCGCTCCCGCCGCCGCCGCGGCTGGCCAGGCTCGGGCCGCCGCCGGCCGGACCCCAGGTGCTCCGGGCGCTAGGCTCCTCCGGGAGCCGCGGATCCACGTTCGGAGATGAGCAAGCAAATGAGAAGAGGAGAGACGGGGGCAGAGAGAGTGTGACAGCGAGGAGGGGAGGGGGAGAGAGGAGAGCCGCGGCGGGGAGAATGGGAATGTTCGAGCGAACGGTCAGGGAGAGAGAAAAGGGGAAAGAGAGGAGGAAAATAACACGGAAAGAAGGAAGAGAGGAGGGAGGGACGGGAGGGCGAGCAGGGGGGAGAGGGGGAGCGCGGGGGCGCAGGGCGCAGGAGGAGGAGCGCGCTCGCTCGCCCCTCGCCCCGGCGTGCGGGACGGATCCTCCGGCGCCGCCGCCGCCGCTCCGGGCCGCGCAGCTCCTGCTCTGCCGCGGGAGGCGGCGAGGCGCGCGAGGGAGGGGCGCGCTGGGGCTGTGGGGAGGGGAGACTATTCCATCAGCCAAAGGAGGATTGGCTGCATCCAAAGCCAGTCCGGATGCAAACTACGGCCCCGGCCTCGGTCGGGTGAAGTGCGGGCGATCCAGGCGGTGGTGGGGGATGGGGGCAGGGGTGGGTGGGAGTTGGGGGGAGGCGTCGGGAGGGCTTGGAGGAGGGCCACCTTCTGCAGTTGTCACCGCGTCAACGCTGGGAAGCTGCCAGGGCACCCGCTCCCCCCCCCTTCCAGGCAACTTCTTCCAACAGTCCCCTCTGACAGACCCCAACTCTCCTCTCTCACGCCTCGCCCGTCCAGCGGGGCACAAAGAAATCTCAGTCTCTCCCTAAACTTTGTGCTTTCAGTTATGCCGCCCCCTCCGCTCAACCCCAGCCCCCGCCCTCTCCCAGCTTCTTGGCAGGAAGGTTAGGCCACTGGCAAAGTCCTCAGCGACAGCCAGATGATCACAAATGCCAACTGTGTGTCTTGGGGCCAGTTAAGTCCGCTCATCTGCTCAGGCTCTCAGAAGACCATTTCTTTGCTCTCAAGGGTCCCAGGAGACCGCTGCGGACACGGACCGTCCCGCTCTGGGCCCGCGTGGACGAGGTGCTGAGTCGCATCCTCAACGTGTTCTCTCACCTCCAGTTTCCATTTTAAATTGTAAAATTTCCAAATTTGGAGACAAGCAGATATTTTTCTCATCTTGGAAAGGAGGAGCGAGCGTTAGCTAGCTGATTAGCCGTAGGTGGGAAACGAACCATCTCTAATAAAAATACTAACTTTTTGAGAAACTCTGGGGAAGTTCTGTAGTCCCACCCTGCCCCGTGACCTTTCATTCTTTTAGTTCTTCTGCCACAGGGAAGCACCGATCGACTAATAAAAGATTTGATCTTGCTATAATTTCCCAAGCAGGTAAGACCCAGTAACTATTTCGTGGTTCTTTAGCTTCTAAAGTTTTGTTTCATTCGTATTCAGTTATTGTATATGTAGCATGTGGGAAACTGCAAGCCAAAAGGAGAACAAATTTTGTGGTGATTTGCATAGTTATTATTTTGGCCAAGTTAAGCTGTATGAGGTTAGCTTATTTTCTTACAGTTTCATATACAGTGAGTATTAAATATATTCTCCCAGGTGGGTTGGAAGGAGCTTCTATCCAAGTGCAGTGAGACTGGCTGCTTCGTGTAATCAGTATTTACTAATAAACTCCACTGCAGTTAACATGAGTCCCCCAGTTACTGCTGACTCTTCCTCCAGGAGGTTGTGAAATGGACCATTCTGATCTGAAATTGTGTCCCCCTCTGCTTGGTTGACTATTATTTGTGTGAGCCACACCAAACTGGATACTCTAAAAGGGTCTGGGGTCAGCACAGAGCCTGGGGTGATTGAGCATAATGCAGGATGCTCAGTGTGTAAGGCACTGTAATCAGTGTCATTTATAACCCTAACAGGACATCTTCTGGAAGGTGTAAAGAGTTGCCTTGTGAAAGGTATGGCCAAGAGAATCTTAATACAAAGCTGAAGACCAATTGTGAATTTTATTACATTATCATTGGTACTATTACCATAGGAGGTTGTAAGAATACATAGTCCTCTGCAGTGGAAAATGCACTAAACGGCGAAGTCCCTCCTGTGAAGAACCAACAAATTAAGGCTGAAAGTACCATGAAAAGCAGGGCCATTTGTATTTGTGTTGTGGAATAAATAAGCAGACAGGGAACTACAGATTTCTACCTCCTTCATTTTCAGTTCATTACAGTTAAATTGGTGTACTTAGAATCAGATGTGTTGTACATAATGGTTTTTAAAGATCTTTACAGAACTGGCTGAATTTTTATGTCACCCAAAAGGAATGCCTATTGGAATTAAAATATCGTGACTGTTTCTTTTGGCGTTTGAAATGGTTAAATATGCAATGCAAAAGAAAAACAAATAAATCTCAGCTAAATATATAGTTTAAAAGCTAAAAGGAGCAAAAGTCAGAGAATTCAAGGCAAGATTGATAAAAAAACCAGAATACATTATTATAGATACTAGTTTATCTAATTATAAATATATATTAATTATAGTCAATAGGAATGAATTAAAATAAGGAATAATATTATATTTTATATTTTCTCATTATTTTTAATGAGAATATTAATGATATTTAAGGTATAGTTTTTCTTTTTTCGAGTTTAACTCATCAAGGTTGTAAAATATAAAGACAGAAAAACCTATAAGCAATTATCTCTGTCCAAATGGATATGGCAGCCCCAAACCACAGCTACATGACTATCAAACAATGATTATGAAAACCACAATTGAGAAAAGCATCAGAGAATGATATTGCAAAACCACAGCAACAAATGTGTCTGTGATATTGAAAACCACAGTTCACAACTAATACCCTGTGTATCACAAATTACAATTTAACTATAAATGTGCAAATGTATAAATAACAGCACAAAATAATTTCTCATTTGCTTAAAAATAAATTATTCATTTCTAGGCTCACCAGTTTAATGTATACATAATTGTTTGTTTATAAAAGTTTCTGCTTTAAAAAACAAATCATTTTAAATTACATGAAAAATGCCAGTTACTTTAAAAACAGGAAATGCGCAACTTTTACTAGTATTTTCTAAAATGTTAAAAAAAAGATCTGAAATCATTCTGAAACAAACATCTACTTCAGTCTAGCTTTTTTCATAAAGTTCTTTGGAAGTGAAAAGATATGTGAATGGAAACTGTTTACAGAATAAAAGCTCAAAATATTCTATTACAACTTCAATGAAAATAAAATTGTATATATAGTAGTACCCTTCCATACCCAGGGCTTATATTCCAAAGCCCTCAGTAAATGCCTGAAACTACAGATGGTACTAAACCCTACATATACTGCTTTTTCCTATACAAAATACCTATGATAAAGTTTAATTTCTATAGTAGGCACAGTACGAGATAAATAACAATAACTAAAAATAGAACAATTATAACAATACATTGTACTAAAAGTAATGTGAATGTGGTCTTTCTCCTCTTTCTATCTCTGTTTCTCTAAATATCTTATTGTACTGTACTGACCTGTTTTGGGGCCTCAGGTAACTAAAACCACAGATAAGGGAAGACACTATATTCTTAAATAGTCATTTTAGCTAGAAAACATACATAGGAAAATAAAATAAGAACCCAGTACCCAAACTACATTAATATGCAAAACCAAGTGCTTATTTACAACTGCATGAAATGATATTAGTTGCAAGTTTATAGGAGTACCAGATTTTGCAAATTAAAATACAAGATGTCTAATTACATACAAGCAATAATTTTTTAGGGTAAGTATGTTCCATGCGATATTTGGTACATATTTATCCTAAAAAATAATTGTGACTTATATAAAATCAAATTTAACTGAGCATCCTGTATTTTATCTGGCAAACCTACAAATTTAGCATTTTTACAAATTTATGGTGGTTTATAATATTGTTCCAGAAAAGGCAGATAACTCTAAAGTGCTTCCTACAGATGTAAATATATTTAATTCTTGACTATAATGTTATTTAGGGAAGGCAAGGTAGAAGGAATAATTTCTCTACAAAAATTCTTACTTTATTTGGCACAGTTTAGAAATGCACTCTCAGTGAAAATGGATTGCATTCATGTATGTCTTAGTCTTGGATTTGTTTTTAAAATGTGTTATTTCCTCCAAGGGATCAACAAATTGACAAAGCAACCTCCCAGGCCACATCTTATTAGGCAGCAAGCTGCCTTCTTTATTATGGAAGTAAACAATATTCAAAAGCTTCAGAAAGACTTAATTTTTTGCCCTTGTATCCTCACCAGAAATTGAATACAGTTTATCTGCCTTGATTTAAGATTGTGACTCTGAATTGAACAAGAATGCAGTATGAAAATAGTGTTTAGTAGTTGTGTATCTTTATAATTTTAGCAGTTTAAAAATAAAAATCAACAAATTCATCTAAATGGCATTTCTATTTTATAACCACGAAAAAGACTATCTGTTTACTTGCAAAGGAGCTGAGGGCTTTGAAAACATTCAGTCAGTCTAGATCAGGGGGTTTAACTTAAGCTTCATGGAGACCATCAATACCTTGAAAGAAGCTTGTATGTACAAATAATTTTCTAAGGAATAGGTCTACTGAATTCATCATATTTTCAAAAATATGTGAAAAAAATCTGTGAATCAGTATGGGTTTAGAATCACTGCTCTGTTTATGTGTAAATGTTTATAATATATTGAAAACTAAAATATGGATGATTTAAGTTTTACTCTTTCTACACATTTCTCTATGTCCAAATTACTACTCCTATAAAAGTTTATCTAATAAAATAAACTCTCTTTTTAAAAAGCTCTTTGCTACTAAGTCTTTATGATGCACAACATATCTCTGGGTAGAAGAAAAATATTTAAAAAGTAACCGCCGAAATATTAATAGACATATGTTGATTTTGTCTGCCTGGCATTAATTCTCTCTTCTTCTGGTGATCATGCCTTGATATCTTTTGAAGAATTATTCCTCCCACTCTCTGGTCAAGTGACACAAGTGTGTGGTCTTCCCCAGTCCCTGACCAATCAAAATATTCCACGTCTGTCTACAGTGATTGGCTCTATGGGCCAAATTGTTCCTATAAAAGTCAGCCCTGGAACTTTTTTCTAAAACCACCGAGGAAGACATGCTGTTTTTCTGCTATGATTGCTACACTGAGAGAAGGCAAATCTGAAATTGCTAGTAGCCATCCTTGTGGAAAGAATGTGCTAAAAGCAATGTCAACACAGAGAATGTTTTTGTCTCACCTTGTCTCAAGAGTCTGATTTGGGGGGAATCTAAGCCAAAACACTCATTAACATTTTAACATTACTCTGGTTTAAATCCGTCAACATTATATATGCGTCTACATAAATGTTAGAATCTTAGTCATTTCTGTTATATTTTATCTTCATCTACTTGACCAGGCTAACTCCGATGCATCTTTGTAGAATTAGTGTAGACATTTTGTACAGGAAAACATCAAAAACCTCCCAGGTCTGAGTAAGATACCTCTTCTCAGCTGCTTCCTTAACATCTTGTTTGTCCACCATAACATCACTTGTTGCATTGTATTACATGGGCAAATTAATTTTATATAAATCTAATTCTCACCAGCTCCTTCCCTGTCTCAACACACTTAAATAGTGAGGTTTGCAAGGGCAAAAAAAAAAAAAATGTAACTTTTTTAGAATTATGCCCCCAGTGCTGGACACATGGAAAGTCCTAACAAAATTATTGAAAGAAAAAGTTCAGAATCATTCTATCCTTTCTAGAGAATCCTACCATTCCCAATCCTCTTCCATAGAATCACAGGTACAGGAGATGGCAGCCATCTTTATATCACATAACTCATGTTCTGATGGGGGAAGCTCAGGCCAAATGGAGTATCTGACCCAAATATGACCCATCCCAATTCTTCCTTGGGAATCTAGAATTAATATCAAGAGTTCTGTTCTTTACCTGGGCTGGTCTCTTGAATGAAGGAGAAGTAAAATTTCTGGAATTGTGGCATGTGTATTACTATATAAACATAGTAACAGAGATAGTTTGAGCGTATATAGAGAAAAAAATAAATGTCCTGAGTGAGAAGTTGAGATGGGAACATGTGACGGCATACCATTTCCTCTTCCGTCCCTGCCATGGACTGCAGCAGTACTTTTGTCTTTGATGTCGATGAGATACTGATGCCTCCTTAAAATAAATTGTTCCCACCTTTCCGTTTTTAAGATTTTTGGCCTAAATTGGCACTAATTGATTCCTGTTACACTCAAACCAAAAGACCAAATGAAGGCAAAAATTATCTATGGCTTTAAAGGATCTGGCTGATGGAATATTTTAATATTTAGAAATATCAATCCAAGTAAATTTTCTACTTTCCTCTGA